GATGACTGGGTATGGATTTTTTGTGCAATGCTTTGTCTCCTGTAAACCAGAAATAGTCAGTCTAGCACTTCTGCTTGGTGGCAATAACATCGTGGTTGAAATACTAAATTATGATCAGATGTCTTTCTAAGAGACCTGCTGCAGTGAAACCAGGGTGCTGGACTTGGTATGCAAGCGTACGGCTCGTGCACCTATTGACACAGGGGTTGAGCCTTACCTGGACCAGACTTGGTGTGCCAGTCTGACCCGTGCGTCTGTTGATGTATAGATTGAGCCTTATGATCTCTACTATAAAAAAGTAAGCTTAGATAATCATGTATAGCTCCTTCTAGCCTGGAAATCTCACGTTTCGTACCCAGAATGATGGATTTCTAGTTTGTGGTTGAGGCCATTAGGTGTTCCTCAGTGTAATGAACAGTCGTGATTACAGTATGAGTGGGTCAGTGCAAACAAGACAACTGCTGGGTGAAGAAAGCAAGCAGCAACGATGCTGCCATCGGTTTCTTGTCCCACTCACTGGGAAGTGTCTCTGCAGTTTCCTAAAGCAGCTAGAACTGGTAGCACAGCGCTGCTGTGTCCTCAGTTACTTCTAGGCAGGGTGATGGGTTTTGATCAGATAGTCCATAGCTTGTCTTGCTGCAGTGAGATCTGACCCGAGGGATGGAAAGATTTCTCTTGCCTTTGAACTTGACTGTTCCAGTTAGCTCAGCAAATTAAACCAGTGTTTAATTCTGTAGGAAAGAATATCGCATGCTTAAGAGCATACCCTGTTTTGTTTGAATTTTCTTGTATAATGTTAATTCCTTCCAAGTTAATTCGCAATTATAACATCAGAGGGAAACTAAGTTCCAAAAATCAATAAATCAATTTTGGTGATTAAACGATCTTGCAAGAGGAGCTTACTTGAGCTGAGCTTGGCCTTTCTGCAGTCTGGACAGACATCCTTCTGAAAGCAAAGGAGGCTCCAGGCTTTGTCAGAACAGACATTATTCTCTGTGCCGAAGTTATAAAATTGAACTCTGCAGAGCCGAATAAAATATGAACACACGTCTCTTGGAAGACCAGATTCACTGGGGACAGTGTCAAATCTCTGGATTTTGGAATGGTTTCATGGGATTAGCTGGAAGAAGGGAGATGTGGGTGTCAGTCGGGGAGTTTGGAGTTTGGTAGGTTCAGATGTAAACGGGACCGATTCTCACTTAATTTTTTGCCTGTCCTTTACTCCAGTGGTGCAATACGTTAACTCTAGCATAATTTTACACCCTTTTAAATCTCTTTTACTTTGCCTGAGGGATAGGGTAGTATAGATGAAGCACAGATCAGGAGCTTTCAATATTTTCTTACGTGTTTCCCTATGCTCCATCACAGCTCTTTGGTCACACTGGTGTTTTATTAGTGTCACCTTGTCCCCTGCCACCTGTGGCACGAGGGACAGGGGCATGAGGAGGGATGTGCTTGAGGTACCAACTCCCCAACACCCTGCGTCGCCTTTGCTCTGTCCCCACAGCTATATGTGCCTCAGCTTCGGGTGAGTAAGGGAGCAGATGTGTAGGGACTGCTCTGCTGAATCCAGCATCTCCCCTTTTGTGCCCATCTATAGCCTTTGCTTACATTAGCCTTCCTTATAGCTGCTATATGTGTGCACCCGTTCGTGCTATGCAGGGGCTTGGAAGGATGAAGACTCATCTTTATGTCTTTATATATACATGTATGTGCACATCCACGCAGGCACCCCTGGCCGTTACAGGAGCCGACACAGGCAGCCTGCAAGAGCAGACAAAGGCTGCCAGAGCTAGGCTGGCAGTGCTGTTAATTTTTCACAAAAAGAAATCTTACATTAAAAATAGAAAAATCTCTCATGATAAACTCTGCAGTGGTGAAATTCAAAGCAAATCATTTCACTGAGCTCCTTGATGTAGAAATCATTACTGCCATCCTCTGCTGTATTAAAGAAAAAAAAAGAAAAGAGAAAAAAGTAAAGAAGCCTGTGCTGTTGGAGTCTGGTTTAGCATGCAATTAACATTGACAGAACAAGTGACTGCAAGTATTTATCAACAAGCCCAAAGCCAAGGTCTGGGAAGCATTGCAGAGGTAATGTATTACTCAAGAATACTGTACTTTATTCTGGAATAGTTCATACATGCCTTATTCATAACAGCCAAAGTCATGCATATAATTAAATTTAGGTAAATACCCTACCGGCTGCAGCTGAAAAGCAATTTAGGAACTGGGCTCGTGTGTCAGTCGGGAGCTGCACTTCATCTCTCGCTGCGAAGAAAAGGCATGTTAGAAGTTTCTGGATCTTCAATTCATGCTTAGGATTAATACAGTTACAGCCCCATTTAGAGCCTTCCCAGACATTTTCGAAGAGTTTTCCTTTAACAAGCAAACAACTGGTATTATTTCCTCTTCTGTGATGTGAAAAATAGAGGTCGAGAGGGGTGGCGGCGGGGTCCCTTTGTGCAGCCACGCTCGGATCTGGAGCAGAAAGCCGCAGTTCGTGATCGCCAGCCTGATGACTCTCCCCAGAAGGGAAATGAGCCGATGGCTCTGAATGAACTTGCACCACCAGCCTTTTAGTGGAGGTAAATGCATTGGCTCTTCTCCAAACAGTAAGCGCAGCATTGCGAATCTGATGAGCTATTGAGATGCATTGAGTGTATTAGGGTGATTATAGGTTTTCATAATCTGGCTGAACGGGGACGGATAAAATCTAGCAATTGCTGCGCTCCTTGACTTGCAGCTGTATCTAGCAACACTCAAGCTGTGTTTCATAGTCACTTGTTTCCTTCTGATCTGTTTCTCCTTTCCACGGGCGTTCCTGGAGGTTAATCAGTATAATGAGCAAATGCATTTGTCTGTCTCCTTTAAAAGGCTGTGACCTGATGTTCTCCTCCCGCTCCAAAGATGGGGAGCAAAGAGGGGAAGAGCGAAAGGAAGGCAAGGCAACAAGCTGTAGATAACTTAAGGTGCTACAACCACTTCCAGGGCCCTTCTGTTTTCCCAGCTTTTTACATTTTGTCCCTTCTGTTGGTGCTGTATGGAGAATTCTCACAGCACGGATGCGTGGAAATCAGGGGCACTGCCCTGTGCACAAAGGCATCCTGCCTAATTTTAAGCACTCGGCTGAGGCATCTAAGCTACATCTTGAGGGCAGAGGCACCATCTGGAGGAGTTTCTCCTCCAGTGATGGGAAGCGTGGAGCTGTGGGTTCCCCATGTGGGCATCTCGCCATGTGCCAGGCCAGGGTGTGGAGAGGAGCTTGACAGGCAAAGCATGCAAAAAAAGCGGTTTTCTTCAGTTTCTTTTTAAGCTCAAGTTACCCTAAGAGCAAAGGGTACTATCAGTCAATAAAAGGATTTCAGACAACAGTTTATTATTTGAGTTGATGGTGTTTCTGTAAATTTAATGGCATTTTGGAGAGAGGTGCAACAGAATTACTCACCAGTGAAAGAGTTTAGTTTATTACACGTGAATGGGATGTGGTGCTCTTTCGCCTATCAAGACCTGGGAATCAAGTCCTGCCTCGTAAGAAAAAGACATTTTGTTTTCCATCCCGCTCGTCCAGCGGGCACATCTCCACATCCTACCAGTACCACGAGGTCTGGCAAAGCGTCATCGGGCTCCGCTCAAATGCATCCGTGTATTATCGGTCCAAAAGGAGGTTCATTGGCAGGGCACGGGGGAGACCTTGCCAAACACCTGGCCGTGGCATTACAAGCCTTTCACTTTTATTCCGAGTTTATTTTGAGACAGGGATAATCATTATTCCTGGATGGAGATGCGCTGGTAAATCCCCACCGTTGTGAAAACTTCTGTCTTCTGTAATATTTACTTGCTGTTCGGCCACGCTGAAGCGCTTTTCTGCTTTACCAAATAGCGATGAGCTAACAACGTTCCCTGTCCTTAGAAGCCCTTTCAAAGCCACAGTTGATATCATATTTTGTTTTCTTTGGCTGGAAGAGGTTTGATTGCTTTTATGTGTAGCCACATTTTTATTTAGTTCCAGACACAAAGCGGGTAAAAAGGACTCCCTTGGGAGTACCTAGGGGCTTAAAGAAGAATATTAATTTGTTGGCAAAACCATGACGACTGCAAGTCCCCAGACCGCTGAGGTCCAAGCATGGAGCCTCGGTGGCCTCCTCCCCTGCCTGCTGGGTCCCCTGCTGTCGCATCCACGCGTGCCCAGTGGGGCGGGTATTTGCCGATCTCATCCAGAACTGGTTTGCAATACTTCATCGTTTTGCGCCTTGCGTGTTTTTTGCGTGTGCAGAGAATCGGCTTCTCACGTCTTTGAGAAGACTCGGCCACGTTGAACCTTTGGTGTTATAAGCTGGAAGTTTGTATGTTTAAAAATGTCAGTAAAAATCACTGTTCGCGAGGAAAGTTACTAGCTCTTTTATTATGTTTTGCCTTAAACAGGGCTCTGTGTGTAGCTCAGTTAATTTGCTTTGGTTGTCAACCTGGTAGGTCGTTGCCAGAAGCGCCTTCATTACTGGAAAAGATGGAGAATGTGTTTAGAAGTTTTACAAGGAAATAAAGTTGCTTCACTTTGCAGGACATTTCACAGAATGGGGAATGTAGTTGCCATTTAAAGGACTTCCCCCCCCCCAAAGTGTGGGTATTGTAAATATGTCATTTTCTAATGACTTCAGGATTGGTGGCAGGCTTTCAAAGTACGGTTCTCTTCTGCAAAATGACTATAAAAGTAGCACTTCAGCTTTCATGAAATTGTATCCCTGGTGTTTCCAAATTTACGTCTGCTCATAGAAAATACATTGTTTTATTCCTGCTATCCTCCAGTGTTTGGGGTTTTTGGAGCTATCAGTGATCACCAATAATAAAGGATGCAATTAGTTGGTGGTTTACAAGTTAGAATTAGTCCAGGTCTGTTTCCCAAAGCTGGACGAGGTTGAAGGCTTAGCAGGAGCAAAAATTGTCAAAAGTTGTTTTGTTGGTGTAACAAGCAAATACTAACATACTCTTTCTTCTGATTTTAGGAGTGGCCACACATTACTTGCCTTCTGGTTTTCCCGTCAAGAAGGAAAACTAAATCGACAGCAAACTATTGAACTGGGACATCACATTCTCAAAGCACATATTTTTAAGGTAACAAAAATTAAAATGAAGACTTACGCCAACCTCATCCCCACTGTGTAAAATCTGCCAACACTGGCAGCATTCAGTCTCTTCTTGTTTTAGGGTTGCTGTAAGAGGTGTGATTGCTTCAGGCTACTGAAACGTGTAGAAGTGAGCTTTAGAAAATTGGCAGTGGTATATAAGAAATCCTTGAAATTAAACCGTCCTTCAGACTGTAAATTCAGCAGATAGCCTCCTTCCCTAAAATTACTCTTCTACCGTAAGAGGTTTCTTCCCTTGTAAGATGAGTTCCTGTAACAACATCTAGAAAAAATAAATCTTTTAAAAGGAGTGGTTTTGAAGAATCCAACCCAAAATTTAGGTTGTAAAAGGGAAGGTTAGATCGTCATTAAAATCTGATGGTCGGTCCTTTTTACTCTTCACACAGACATTTCAGGCCTGGGTTATTGAAAGGCAAACTTGGATGTGAGCATCAATATGACCCATAAACTAAGTATTGTTCTTGTGCCTGGTAGCCCGTATACCAGAAGATGGAAATGAGAGGCTGGGTTTGTAAGGTCACAGGAAATACAGAATTTCTTAAAACTATTAGGATCTGTGGGTGCTTAACAATGGTAAAAATGAGGCTGTACTTTTATCTGGTCTATATATGATTTTATAGACTTAAGAACTTCTGCACTCCTGTATTTCTAGAGCAAATAGATAGTTTGTGTCTTGTGTCAGTCCTGTTGTATTTATTAGTTCCCTGTGCTGAATTCACCATCAGGTGTAGCAGCAAAGTCTGCTCATTTGGGAAAGTGATGGCTGGAGCCAAAGGGAAGAACCCCAGATTGGCGCATTACCCGATCGGTGTATAATTTTCAAATTTTGAGTTATGTTCTCAAGGCCAAATTCTGCCGTGAGTTTACTATTCAGCTGCCATTTACATCTAAATCTGGTTCCAAATCTTCTTCGCTTCACACTTCCACAGTAGAAACAAATAACAGGGTTTCAGGCTCTAAACAAATGACAGTTTTCGTTAAGTGGACAAGTTGCCTGTAGATTCCAGATTTAATTGAGCAATATTTACAATAGTAGAAAATGCCAATTAGCATATGAAAAATGTCAGTATAGCCTTCTGTTTCTAATCACTCGGCAAAATCCTTGGTTTTGCAACACTGCAGCAAGAATAGTATGTCTCCGTGACAGATAACCATAACAGTATGTTATTTAGAAGTACTATGAAGTTCTGAAAGGGTTTGGATTAGCTGGATTAGAAACACTGTAAAACTTAGTCTTTCGCTTTTCCTTGAATAGGTTTATTTTTATTCCTTTTTTTAAACAAGTGTTTACTGAGGATTTGTGAGTGTTTACTGAGTGAAACAATAGCTGCATGAGTTTTTGAAGGAGGCATTGAGCTGGAATATTGCAGACCGTATTTAAGATCTCAGGCATTCTTTAAAGAAACTACTTCCAAGAGTACGTACACAGGCTCCTTTTCCTGTTGTTACTGACTGTATTTGTTTCTGAACAAGCATTTTTTTCCATTCAGGCTTTTCATTCTGTCTGATCTTTTGCTGAAGCAGTTACCAGTAGGGCATGGATTTTCTGCCAAGTAGGGAGCGTGTCAGGTCATCAATTCAGTGTGTTTTTCCTGAAGTTATCATGTTATAGCAGCAGCTTTCCGCAGACACAAAGATCCTAATTTTGAAGGTATTTATGGAGGCCTGATGCCTTTGTAATTCTATTTTATTTACCCATCATGAAGCCAGGAGAGGATTAGAACGGGGCTAAAGCATTTTATCCAGCCAGGGAGTACTGAGAGCTGAGTATACAGACAGACTTTGATTAAACAGCGCAGAAAACTTACTTGTCCTTCCCCAATTCCTAGCAGTTCAAATCCACTGGTACCTTGTGCAAGGTAATGACGGGACACTTCGATAAGTGATGCACAGGTACAAGGTGATGACCTGACCCACGGGTGGTAAGAAGCTTTCACACTCCCTTCTTCACTTGATGGCTGAGATTGGCTGGTTTTCTCTTTTTAAACACAAACGTCCTCAAACAGTATGGGGGAAAAAAAAAGTACAAATGTTTTAGTATCTTAAAGCAATTACCAGTCTTAACAGGAGCATATGGAAACCCAGCTTGGAAAGCCTGGCATGGAATGAAAGGGCAAGAAGAAAAATGTGCAGAAATGATAAAAGAAGACCCAAACTTTGGGGTGACGTGTGTTTTGCAAATCAACCAAAGAGAAGTCTTTAATTTCATCTTAAATTAGTTAGCTAAAATGTCAGTAATCCAGAAAAGGGTGTTCCTCATCCCCAGATTGAGAACGTAATGACAATTACAGGCAGAAACACTCGCTTTGACAGCTACAGGTATGTAAAGGTGTCTGATATTCCTTGAAAAACAGCCTTATATAGAACTTGTGCTGAAGGTGCCAATGGCCAAATAGCAGAGGAAGCAATGAGTTAGAAATTAAGGATGCTGACAGCTGCATACAAGACTGCAGGACAAAAGAGGCAAACCTGTTTGAAAACTGGGGTTGTGTGGGGTTGGCAGAGTTACTCAAGTGAAACGTGCATGGTCAAGCCATGCCTTGGTCCTGTGTCAGATGGTCCTAGCAGGGTGGAAAACACTGATGGTATTTTGGTTTGATGTTGTATCAAGTTGGGATTTACTTTTGCTGAAGGATTCAACCTGCTCTACGGTTCTGGGTAGAAAAGGGAAACCAAAAAGGAAGATGCGATCTGTAAAATGAGAAATAGTGCGGTTTTGTTTCAGCAACTGAATGATAATGGTGTTCGATGGTTTTTTTTCTTTAAAGGATAAATGTCGTCTTTTATGTCTTGCACTAATATCTAAGTATGTATGTTCTAATACAGCAGTTAAGATTTTTATAGCATATGTGATTATCTTCAGATGGCTATTCTGAAAATACATACTCTTTCCCTTGGTCCTGATGGTGACTCAAACAGCTTATTTATGGGTTTGATAGTATTATAACTATTTTTAAATTATTTTAAGCATTCATTATAAAATTGTTTTCTGTTTGTCCAATTACACAGTACTGAGTTCACTGAAATTTAATATTGACCTCTAATGTCCTGTATTGTGTCATTTCAAAAGCAACGCTTAATGGTGGCCAAAATTCCTGAGCTCTTTTCTGCCTCTTAACACAAGCAAATATTTTTCTCTATTTAGCTCCCTGAATTTTGAAGGAAACAAGCGCATGGAGTTGTTATTTATAAGAGCTTGTCTAATCTGTTGCTTCTTTTCATGGTAAAACCGTTTCAAGTGACAAATCTGTTGATGGCTGGTGCGATGCTTCAGAATCTCTTTCACACGTAGGTATTAGAGGTCTGCAGCTGAGTCCAGCAGCAGGCTCGGTTGATGATTCCTGCACATCTTCCTTTAGAGGAAATAAATCCCACTTTTTGCTGCTGGTTTTCTTCCCACCACCCTACACCGTCCGTGTCAGTCTGTCATACAAAAGACTCACAAACTGAAATGTGATCCCACTGCTTTGCGCAGATAGAAATGACCACACGGCATGCGAGGAAGTAGAAATCAGGGTTTGCATATCAAAACAGAATTAAAGATGTCTGTACGGTTTCCATGGAAACAGCAGACTTTAATGGTAAATTGATAGCAGAACAGCAACATATAGGGCATACCCGCATCACACAACGGAGCACAACACACAGCAAAGCTTGGTGCTGGAGTTGCAAACCCGTTCCTCTCTCTTCGATCCAGCCATTTGCTCCCACGTGTTGGCTACAGAGCAGTTGTTGCTCCTTCAGTAGGAGGGGGGGAAACTTGCTTAACAGTTCTGTGCTCTGCCAATTAGTGTTGCTGGACAAAGATGTCAGACCTTCTACATATTATGTATAGCCTGATCAGGACGCCAGCCGGAAAGGTTGGAGACAGTCTGGGATGAGAGATGGGAATACTGTTCTAGGCTGTGGTTGAGACCTCCTTAATTTATCTTCTTGTGAGCAGATATTGTCATCTGGTTTAACAGTGTGAATAATAAGGAAACTTTGTTAATCAGTTCTGCCAAAATAATGTGTACTTTATTAAAAAAGAAGCTGTGCTCCTTACCATGACATTTTCTGAGGGTGTTGAATGGATTCCAGTTGCTCACAGTTTAATCCTGCCTTTCCTAAACCTTGGAGATGGCTACAGTACCTTTGCAAGTTATTTCCTATAAGCTTCATAATTCACTGCGAAGGTCGGATGTGGCAAATTTTCATGTTTTCTTGTGTATAGCTGTTAGTGTCTTGAAACACTTTGAAGTCCAAAGACCCAGGATGATCTGCCCAGTGTAACTAAGCGTATTTGGAAGCTTGGATCTAAGTCATCTTTTCTTTTTTAGGGGCTGAGTAAAAAAGTTGGGGTATCTTCCTCCATCCTGCAAGGGCTTTGGATCTCCTACAGCACCGAAGGTCTTTCGATGGCTTTGGCATCTCTGAGAAATCTCTACACCCCAAACATAAAGGTACTGGAGCAGGAGGAGAGCTGGGGTGGTTCAGAGCTCGCACGAGAAGCTCCCAGCGATGCGCGGTACCGTTCGTAGAGCGTTCGCTGGAGCTGCCTGCCCGTGGCACTGGTCCTACCCAGGCAGTGCTGAGCAGCTTGTGGGGCGTTCATCTTGAGCTGGGGAGACGCCGTTAGTTCAGTTGAGGTTTTGTTACCAGCCGGGATGATCCCCCCACTCTTCTACATTGACCAGAGATCTCCTTTTAATTGCAGAGAGTGAATAGTGAATTTGCGCCTGCGCCAAATGATTCGCTTGCATTTTTCCTCCCCAAAGATGTGGGATGCGACAACTGGTGTTGAAATTTGACAGCCCCATAAGGGCTCTGGCTTAGACAGGCACTAACTGGGAGGTGACGCCAAACATGCTCACATGCTAGTTCAGGCACTTCATGCCCATTTGCTTTGGTAAGGATGAATGTGTTAGCTTAAGTGACTTATCTCTACAGCAGAAAGGATTTCAGACAGTGATACAGATTTCAGATTGTCCTTCATCTGGATGGATGTTTGCTCCAGCTCCTTCCCGTACAGGCAAAAATGCCTAAAATGGGACCATATATTTGGCAAGTGTTTTTATGGGGCATTTTATGTCCTTCACTATTTGCTTGGAAGCGTGCAGAGGGCCCTGGTATAAATTCTTTTGTTGCTCTGAAAATAAACTAAAGTCTCTCCATAAGACTCACCTAACAGGACCTCTTCTTTTCCTGTGCAGGTCAGTCGGTTGCTGATTTTAGGAGGTGCAAACGTGAATTATCGGACCGAAGTTCTGAACAACGCCCCCATTTTGTGTGTCCAATCTCACCTGGGTTACACGGAGATGGTGGCTTTGCTCCTGGAGTTTGGGGCAAATGTAGATGCCGCTTCGGAAAGTGGCCTCACCCCCCTTGGCTACGCGGCTGCTGCGGGATTTCTAAGTATCGTTGTGCTGTTGTGCAAGAAACGGGCCAAGGTAAAGCGACCACATTCCTCTGAAAGCCAATTTAAACTATTCCGTGTTTATGCAAGGCAGGGCACAACTTGCAGGCAGGATACGTATTGCTTGCTAAAGAATATCCTCCAGCAGATGAAGCCAGGATGCTGCTGTGGAGGGTTGGCTTTTCTGCTAAAATGCAGTGGCTTTGAAAATCTTGTGTGGACACCGAACCTAAGTAACTCCTGAGAGTCTGTAATTAGCATTCTGGAATTCAGTCTGAGGCAGGAACTGCCTAATCACTCTGCACCGATGGCCTGCTGAAGGACGTTCTGGAGAAGTCCTTGAACCTCGCAAGGTTAAAATGGCAACATTGCTTTTGCAGCACGGAGCATTCTTTAAATATCTCCTTGAGACACATTTTCCAAAAACTTCTATCAGACTTGTCCTAGAAAAATACCCTTTGTTTAGCTTTGTGGTGAGTGTTTGGAGTTTTACTTGTATATAATGAGTCAAGTTTAAATATTTTGTTGAAGAAGAAAATTATGCTGAAGTGGAGCCTCTGGAAACAATTTGTGGTTTCTCTATATGTTTAGCTTCAGTTCAAAAAGCAAAATATGGGTTTGTATAGTTTTGGTATGAAAGTTGGGATGACTGAGGTACCCATTTAGATCTTGCCATGTCGGCTGTAATAATGTGAGGACAGTATGAAGGAAAAAAAGAATTGTGCTTTTGTTGGGATATTTTGAGAGAGTTGGGTGACTCCTTGACGCTTGTTGGTAAGAAACCACATTCTGTCTCTGAGAAAAGGAATATTTGGGCTACGTAATGCAATGCAAAAGTCCTACCACTCAGAGGTTTCCTTGAGTATCCCTGACTGTATTGAGGAAATACCCCAAAACCAGCTACGTTTAGTTTGAAGGCAGAGATGTTTGATTCTGTCACAGAAAACTGCAACACTGTTTGCTGCCGAAGTTGAGAAATGAGAAATATTAATGGATTATAATATGATAAATATTTCTCATACGTATTCTGTATCTATAATCAATATTAATAGAATATATTAATATACTAATTCTTTCTTACAATATGAGAAATGAGAAATAATATGTTGCAGAGCACTAAAGGGGTTAACCAGCAGGATGGTAGCTGATCTGCCTGTCCTGTTTTCTCCAAGTTACTGGTATTGGGTAGGACCTAGAAATCCCAGCTGATGCATTCAGGCATCGAGTGAAAACCATGCCCTGTCCTGAAAAGCCAACCAAATAAGTTCCTACAGGGCTGCCAAGAGCGATCTCCGTTTCCTCTTGACTTCTGCCTGCACCGGCCTCGCGTTGTGCGTTTGACTGCAGGCTGAGGCTCTTCTGTGTCTCTTGAAAGAAATTCTATCTGGAAAACAAGATGGTTTTCCTCTTGTGGATTTGGATAAAGGAGATGATAGTGGTGTGTATGATTTCAATCCGAAAGAAAACACCATTGCTGGACTTTGGGACACAAAGGGAAAAATGCTTTTGCAGCCTTTGAGTCTGAAGAAAGCTAAAAATAATGGAAACTTACCCAAAGCAAACATTTGTGGCCAAGAGGATGCCTAAGCCTGGGACAGAGTTACTTTGGGAATGGTTGTTTCCTGGTCGTAGAAGGGATAGTTTACCAGAAAAGTGCACATATTGCACATGTGGCATTATTTTGAAACCGGGGCTGGAAACTCTGAAGAAATGAAGACATTTTGCCCGTGATTTGGCTTAACTGTATTTTGTCATCTCTTTTCAAGGTGGATCATTTGGACAAAAACGGTCAGTGCGCTCTAGTTCATGCTGCTCTCAGAGGACACTTGGAGGTGGTGAAGTTCTTGATCCAATGCGACTGGACCATGGCTGGGCAACAGCAGGGAGTGTTTAAGAAGAGCCACGCCATCCAGCAGGCACTGATCGCTGCAGCCAGCATGGGTTACACCGAGGTAAGACCTACCAACCAGCACGTCACTGCCTCTGCGGGGCGGGAAACCAAGGGTTGACTATTTTTCCTAACCAAAACATGGAACAACGAGGGTCTTGGAGGAGGAGTCAGTACCTCTGTCCTACTCTTCCTCCCCTTCCCATCCCAGGCAGTGGGGTTCACAGATCCCTTAGCAATCCCTGTGGTCTGGGCAGGCATCCAAGAGAGGAAGCGTTACAAGCCTTTAAGTTGTTGGAATAAACCTTTAAGCAAGTGTGGATAAACAGCGAGTTGCTTACACCGTTCCTCCGGTGGTGTTAGGGAAGTGTGAGACCGTGTAGCTTTGGACTGTATGTTGGTGGAGAGAAGAGCCAAAGAGCTTCCTCCTATCATACTGATAAAGATTTGTGATGTGGAAAATTATGTATGTTTTCCTACCGAGAAGCAGTCTTTGAGGATTTTTGCATTGGTTGATTTCTTTGCTAAATTGAGCTCCTCTCATTTACTGGAGTTTTGAAATTGCTTTTGTTAAGCATAATCCATGAAAACATAGGCAATGTGCTCAGATCAGAGGAGCTAATTAAAGAAAGCTTGGAAATTTCTTATTAGCTAAGTGACTGTGAGTTGGACCGATTAGAAGCAGATGTGACTTCAAAACCCTAAAGATCTGCACGCCGAGGACATAATTTGTAACAGGGCACAGAACTTTTATCTGGGGGGAAATTCCCATTTAAATACTGATCACCTTTATAATGTATAGAAAAGAGTTTTGGAATTGTTTAATATTTCTGTTGTACTATGAAAGGTACATGGCTGCTTACAGAAAATACACCAAGTCCCTGTTTTGAGGTGCTTGCAGTCATAGGAGCTGCGAGCTGATGATTACTCACTGTGCTGTTTTTCTCCAACTTTGGTGATAAAACAAATATTTACCATGTTTATAAAGTGATCTTAGTCACTGGTGGAGCCACACTGGAGTCCTTGCTGTGATTATACCCTAGTGTAACCATACCAGACTTAGCTTTACGCTTTAGTCACGCAACACAAGGTCCACTAAGTAGTACAGCACCCAGCTGGGAGGTCAGCCGAGCGCTCGGGGTTGTGTTACACCAAGCTCACACTCTTCCCATCGAGGCAGCGACATACACACAAGGCATCTACTGTGGAAGTACCATGGGCATCACTTCAACAGCATCTTCCACACAGGTGCTCTCCTGGGTTTCTGGTTCCTGTGCCACTGTCATTCCCAATGTCCCATTTAGCACTAGAGCATCACTGGCAGGACACGGGAAAATGGCACTCGTCACCGCAGTCCCTGCTCCCCTGCGCTGGTGCCTGTCTCAGTCTGTGCCCACAGGCAGCTGCAGGCAGCGGAGCAGGCACAGCTTCCTCCCAGGTACTCAGAAAATGCTGGTTATAGCCTAGACCCCAGCAGATAATTGTTTCTCCTAGGAGGAGAAAAATGTTTTTGTCCTTCGGTCACTAAAGTAAAATCTCCATTTTCTTCTTAGCCTCTTGTTTTCTCACATCGTGTGATCCAAACACTGAAATTTTCTGCCAGTTCTCAGTCAATTAAATCCTTTAATTTACCCTTTAAAGAAGTTAATTTTCTTCTCTGGGGTTTCAAGCATCCACAGCTGGAAGAAAACCAGTAGAAATCTTTTTAACAGTCTGCTTAAAAACAGGATTTGCTAGAAAGGAGCTAACAGTTTCTCAAAGTAACTTCACCTTGTCTGGAGCTTAAGATAATGAAGAGGCTAAGGATTGTAACTGCACTATTATATCACTTGTGTGTGACTCAGTTTCCCCAGCAGTAAAAGGGGATGATCACGCTATTGCACCCCACCAGGTGCAGGTCAATACAGATGGACACACCAGTGTTTCCTCGCTGGTTACGGCAGCTGTAGCTGCAGACGAAGGTGCATCCACTGCACACGCCAGGTCATCTGTAGCGGGCCAGACACAGTGATAAGGAACTGCTGCCACAAAAGCTCATCATGGGCGGTCGTATCAAGACACTTGGGGTGTTTTTTGCTTGTACAGGGCAGCAGGTTCAGTGATTCATCTCTGAAAGAATATTTACTTGAGCTTAATGTGCCAGGCAGAGACTGTTCCTTTTCCTCTGTGTATTCAGAGCAGCTCGTGTTAAGATGTCAGCAGTTTATATATAACGCATGCAAGTTCGTGAGCTGACATGTCATTTTGTTTTAGATTGTCTCCTACCTGCTCGATCTTCCAGAAAAAGATGAAGAAGAGGTGGAGCGAGCACAAATCAACAGCTTTGACAGCCTTTGGGGAGAGACAGGTGATTTCTGTAGATGCTGTAGCTTCTTCTTGCATGTTTGTATGTGTATTTATGGGCTCCCCATCACCTGAAGCATCCCCGATCCCTGGCATTGTTTTGATGAAGGGAAAAGGATCGGTTCCTCTGATTTGATTTCAGGTGATTTACAGGTGCCAGAGTGGAGCTTGCACTCAGCTTAGGTAAAACAGAGAAGTTTGGGGGTTGAAAGTCCTGAGCTTCTGGAGCTCCTGGCACTTTTCAGGAGCATGCAGGCATGCAGCGTCTCTGACAACCAGGCCGCTAATTTCTCTGAAACATCTCACATTATGTGAGATGGACACAAAAGTCTGCTCTTCCTCTCTTGATATTGAGCATATTTATCCAAAGCACCTCCCTGTTTCTCTCTTCCCTTCCCCGTTACATGCAGCACCATGACTCTTAAATTATCCATTGATTTTCTGAAAGTTTCTCATTGTTTAGCGCCTGGTAATTAAACAAATGTCCTTTTGTGCAGTACTATATTTCTGTATTGATGGGTATAATACATAAGCCCCGCTTCCCTAACTTCTACCAAAACAAAAACAGCCATTCACCCCTTCCACTCCACAGATATGAAGTGCGCTATAATCTCCATTTCTTGAGATATTCAAACTTGGATTTGTTAGCTTTTAACTCCAATGACCTTATAAATATTATCTACTCTTTTGTACTCAACTCACTAATCTACTTGCATCACTGGTAATGTTCCTGTCAAGTTAATACACCAAAGTAATGTTCCTGTCTGGGTAACGGAGCACTGATTTTGATTCTGTCAGCTTTGTTTAAAAATGACACGATCCAAGGGTACAGACAGTGGCTGGCGTGTGGCTTGGTCTTTGGTCAGGTTGTTTCTGGTTAGAAGCAGGGGGGACATGAAAAAGCTGGGTTACATTTTGAGCTGATTCGTACGCTGTACATTTGAAAATGTAGGCTGATTAGAGCCGTATGTTGAGTGGAGTCTATCAGAAGGTATTGCCCCTGAGCTTTAAAGGACAAGGATGGAGGGATGAGTTGTCCTGGCAGGGAGCCTGATGGGTGGCCGGGCTGCTCTGGGCCACTCGTGGGGCATTAGGGAAGGAGTCAGCTCCTGCACCCACAGGGACATAACTGAGCAGAAAGGGCGTTGTGTCATTATTAGCAGAAATAAGGGCAACATATACAAATAAGCCATTTAAAAGTGCCCCAAGGGTGTCACGGGAGAAAAAAGAAATTGGATATGGAATTAGTCAAATGAGGTGACAGCATTGGTAATAGGACAGCAGCTTTGCTGTCGGCGAGCTCACAGTTCACAGTGGTGACTGGGCCAGAGACGGCTCATCCAAAAAGTTCTCTGGTGTTTGGGTCCTCAGGACTAACTTGTAAATAGGATGGTGATCCAGATGCCTTCAGAGTTTGATCAAAAGCCACTAAGATGTCTCCCTGCAAAGTAACCTCATGGACGGCATCAGATACTACAGATATGCTCCTTGACTTAAAGATAGTCCTGGGTTGTCTGGATGAATCTGGCAAAGCCCAGTATAAGGCCATAGGTGTTCTCTGAACTGGTGTCTAACCCTGCCCATCCCTGGAGCCCTGCCTTCACAGGTCACACTGTCCTGCTCCCTCCTGCTCAGCCATGCTCTCCAGTCTGAAAGCTGAGCACTGCAGTCTTCTCCCTGACAAAGTCCAGCTCTTTTCTGTCCTCTTTCCTTGTGTCGTGGGCGGCTCTGCCGTTCCCAGCCTGCCCGTTGCCTCAAGGACTCTTCAGCAGAAGTCTTTTCCATCTCTGTTGTCCCCCTTCCCATACCTCTCCCCCCCAGCAGTGCCAGAAGCTGGACTTACACAGACATCTGGGATTTTGTCTGAGAGGGGTTTCTGAGCAACTGGGATAGTTGGGATTGTGGAATTGGTGATCTGCAAATCGCACACAACTGGAGGAGCCATCTCAAAGGAATACCCATGTATCTCATTAAAATTGGTGGTAGGTAAGATGGGAAAATGAGCAAAAACGAGCCAACCACCAAATTCAGCAGTCTTTTGTCCTGCCACAGGCAGGACAAGTTTATATAGATCTCAAGACTCCCTTTCACATTGTTTTATTATTATTTTCCCAAAAGTAAATAGCAAGTTTAGATAAATTTGAGGAAAAATGCTGGTTTCCACCTAAAAATAGCAATCTGCTCTAAAAATCTGAATCATGTCTCGTCTGTTTTTTGATACTTGTTGCTTGTGCGTCTAATCTTCCGCAGAGCAGAGCTGACTGCCTGGCTTAGTGATATCAGCCTGATATCATCCAAATGGCAGTGCCAAGTTACCTCATAAGTTTAGGAATTGCTGACAACACAGTATAGCCAACTCCAGATGGAATATTTCCCCCTGGGACGAGACTAATATCAAAACCCAGCACAAAAGTATCTGAGTCACTTGTAATAACTCCATCAAAGTTGGAGGTGCAAAGAACAACTCCATCAAACTGCATTTGTCTTGCTGCCAGGCTGTGAAACAGATACACGTGCGATATAGGAGCAATTTAATGATTCCTTCTCCAGATAAAGTTGCTTTTTTTCTAAGAAAACACACATGCTCTGCACAACAGGAGAGACAGAATGTGCCCTTGCAGATCCCTGGTGATGGAGACTGTGGCTTGTCGGACGTTGCTTGCTGACAGAGAGGGGCACGTCCACACCTGAAACTTGTCTCAGGTTTTGCTTGAGCCAAGTTTTGAGAAATGCAGCAACTGTTTTATGGCATTTATGCCAAGACTTTGTTATTGTATGGCGAGTTGTTCTCCTGGCGCTACGACCTAATGGAAGAGCTGCAAAATGGAACATGCCTGTTTTCCAGCCTGGGATCCTGGTCGCTGCCTCTTGGCTGGGCTTGGTGGACTTGCCTTGTTCATGCTGGGCCATGGGAGCTCTCTGGCAGATAGTAAAACTTCAAACAAAACCATTTCCATTTCCCTCATTTCCTCTCATCACCTTTCCTTGGATTTTCCAGTCTCCTTTCAGCACACAGGCACAGCCTTACCTTCTGTTGTGGGTTTTTTGGAGACTAATGGCTGTCGTAAGGCACGTTGGTGATATCAGAAACAGCTTGATAAGTCCATCTAAAGAGTGCTAAAAGGCTTAAATAAGCACGTACTTCTAGAATTTTTCCTGAAGTAGTTTAATTGAGCTTTTGGGCTTGGACAGTTGGACACCAGCCACAGGACAGTGCTCTGGGCTTGAGGTGACCAGCAGTGGAGCTGGAGCTTGGGGATGTCAAAAGCCGCTTTGACGAGAAGGCTGGAGCTAGAGGAGGGAGGCACCTGTATTCAGAGCAGCAGCAGAGTGTCCAGCTTGTTGCAGTTGGAGGGACCCCAGGGGTTTTCGAGTCCAACCTTCTGTGCAAAGCAGAGGCACTGATGAAGTCTGGGTGTACCTTAGTGAGTTGGTCTCCGAGGGTCCAGCTGGACTGAGCTCCTTTCGCCCCTTGGAGGGTTTCTCCATTTCTGAGGATAGATGCCTAGGTATCTGTGCGTTATACAAGATGAGCTTGGATAGGTTTCTCTCAGCAGCAGGCAGCAAATCCAGGTCATCAGTGTGGAACCTTCCTGAAGCAGCAAGGTCTGACGTCTCAGGAGCGCAGAAGCTTTTGAGCTTCCCTTGAGTTGGAGCTGCAAAGGACAGGCTGGAGCTACATACGCGCCCCAGTTGCTTTGGCCCTGAGGAACAGAGTAGCAAAAAAGACATGTCAATCCAGGTAGAGAGGATTGCAAGGCAGAGTGGAGAAAGGTATGGCCATGGATCAAATTGTCCTGTTTCAGTAAAGTCTTTTCCAAAGAACGTTTTGTGGTGAGCACCAAACACTTGTAGGTGATTTACAGTATTTTCATTGTTGCAAACATAAGTCATTTTGACATGAAATACCTCAAATTAACCTGCAGCATTTCAAGTACAGGCAGGTTTAGAAATAGAACCCAAAAGCCCTGCATACCGATCCCTCTGCCGTGCACATTACACACAGTCCTCCTTCTATATTTGTAGCTTACGTTTAAAACCCACATGGATCCGATTATAGATTTTGCAGTATGTTCTGCTTGTGGCAGCAAGATGATTTTTCTTTTAACTCTTGGTGTCTCTCAACCCCAAGAGAAGAAAACTCGACCATAATGTGGAATAGAATAGAGAATTAATTAAATCCCCCAACATTAACAGTGTTGCAGTTGGAAGCCCATCAACACCTCGTAATCAGCCATCCCACAGAAATGTACTTCAAAGAAAAAACAAGCTACGTCAGTTAGAAATAGACTCCCACCTTCTGCTCCAACTCCTACTAGAAGCAGCAGAGCATCGAGCCAGAGGAGCTGTGCTGAAGTGCACAGAAAGTTAAGGAGAGGAGGGAGGAACCAAAAAGTCTAAAATTAATACCAAAGACGAGTCAAAGGCAGGTCCTGCACTTGGAACTATTTTCGGATTGAATGTGTCTTTTCTAACCCAACCATACTTTCTGAGTTAACAGAGCACATTTTGTCAGGGAAAGAGCTGTCAGGTGTTACTTCTACCCACCTGTAATATTGTGAGCATCTGTAATACTGGAAATGAGAGATAATTTTGGTTTTGCACAAAGACCCTTGCTGGTAGGATCAGTCCTGACCAGAAACAAAGCCCAGAATTGGCGTTTTTCTTGGAGAACCGGTGAAAGTATTCATACCATTTTTGCTTTCCAGTTGTTTCCCTGGTTTCAAAGATTTACAGGGTAAAGTGGGATATTAAAAATAAAAGTCCCCCATCTGAATTATGCTGCTCTGTGCTTGTTCAGACAGAGAAAAGCCACAAATCTGACGGACATCCAGTGGCTAGCAGTGATCTGTCAGTGCCTTCAGCCTGATCCCTCACTTGCTCTCTTGTAGTCATGGTGGAATGAGTCAAGGACAGGTTGCAGAAGGTCTTGTCAAGACAGCATATACCTAAAGACCTGTGTTTTCACTGGACATTGTGCCCGTACTAAGACACACACAGTCTTGCAGCCTGTGGCTTTTGCAGTAGGAAAACCTACAGGAGGCACAGCGGGAAATGGGGAAGGTTTCATGTGACAAGGCTCTACGTTTCTTTGCAGCAACACCTTGAACCTGAGTCACACATTCCTGTAGATTATGTTATCTTTATGGTTCTCATCCTGTTTCACTGCGACTTGCGGAAAATAATAAAAGCTGATTGTCCCAATCAACCTCTTTCCATAATGTTATGAGATCTGTTCGTGGAAGAGTTGACCTTTGAAGTAAACTAAAAAGACAAGAGCTAGAACGGTACTGATCCAACTAATTTTCTTTGTTCATTTTGCCTGTCATGAGCTACATTTGGCATTTCAGGCACCATGGCTTCAGTATCCAGCAGAAGGACCTATGTCTGGATAGGAAAAAAACTCCGCGGAGAGCGTGGCTCTTTCCCTTCACTGCTTTTCTCTCTCCTCCAGCTCTGACGGCAGCAGCCGGGCGTGGGAAGCTGGAGGTCTGCCGGCTCCTCCTGGAGCAGGGTGCCGCGGTGGCACAGCCCAACCGCCGCGGGGTCGTTCCGCTCTTCAGCGCCGTGAGACAGGGCCACTGGCAGGTGAGCGGGTTCTTCACGCCACCGGGATTGGCCTGAAACGTAGGGTCAGGCTGTCCCTTCCATCTTGCTGAAATATGGGTGGAGAAGACAAACCCCAACTCTTGTGGGGAATGATCGGAGTGAGAAAAAGTGACATTGATGCTTCAAATCCCCAAAGCTCTTGCTGGCTACAGACAGCTTTTGCTTAAGTACTGCGTTATCTCACCATTTGGGAAGCAAATGGGATGCTCTTGACTTAAAAGGTCATTTTTCCTGTCCTTACACCTCAGTTGCTTCTCTTATGCCCTAATCTTGCAGCAGTAATCCCAGAGGGCACCACACTTTTGGGGCGTGAGGTTTCAGGACATGGCCACCGCTTTGCTCTTCCTTGGCTCTGGTTTCTTCCCAGCTGGATTTCTACGTACGATGTGTGTTCCCAGCTGGGTCTCCACATATTAAGTGTGTTCTCGCTTTGTGTGTTGCAGATTGTAGATCTTCTACTCACGCACGGTGCTGATGTAAACATGGCAGACAAGCAGGGGCGGACGCCGCTGATGATGGCTGCATCTGAGGGACATCTGGGCACAGTGGAGTTTCTGCTCGCACAAGGTTAGAGAATGTGCTTGGACGTGTGTTGGAGACCGGCCACGGCGAGTCCCACCGCACTGTCCCCTGCACGGCTGGAGTTTGTAATGTCGGGGTGGGGATTGTAATCCCACTGCTGGATCGGGCGGTGGGAGAGGTTCTCAGCACCGTATCCAGTTTATTGGAGAACAAGACTAGAATAGTTGATCTTGGCTATCTGTTTTGTTGTCTGTATTTGGTGCTCACAGCCTCAAAACCATGCGTTTGAGTTGGAAAATAAAATAACATATCACAGGTGCTTTGAGCATTGAGTTAAGAACATGCCCTTGAACCATGCTTGGAGCTTTCCCCTTAGACAAAAACATCAACAAGCGATGTGATTGAACCGTCAGTGTCACCACGGAACAGGCAGGCAAAACTCAGCCGCAGGACCAGAGTTTGGGACACGTTTTAACATTTCCATTTTTAGTGCTAGTATTGTTGGCCACGCTTTTGACACCAACATCAGCAGGAGGGTAAGGCCCCAACACAGGCAAGGATTTAGTGTATTTGTTGAAAATAAAACAGAATGGTTTTGAAGATAGTCTGCTCTTTAGCTTTGCACTCACAGATTCACTTTGCTCAGTACTTTCAGTGTCTAATAACTCTCCTTCACTAGGAGTTACTCAGTCAACAGGAGCATGTTTCAGTTTTACTCATTTCTGCTGTACGTGTTCGAGGTGAGTCAGAACAACACGCTGCCTGCAACCTGTGTGAACAGGATTATTTCTTATTTCTGTAGTTCCTTAGAGACTTTTTTTTTTTTTTTTTACAAATAGCCAATGTTTGTTTGGTTTGTTTGGGTAATTTTCCATTATTTTTTGGCTAGAAATAGCATTTAATTCTCGTATTGTTATTTGATATTTTTATTTCAGGTAAGATCCCTCTTTGGGAAGGGATATTTTCTTCATATCGTAAGTGACTGTGTCTGACCTCTTAGCCAAAATGTGAGACACTTGTATATTTTACGTAGTAGTTGTAAGAACGTTTTTTTCACTGTAAAATTGCCAGGCTTCCAAGAACAAGTTTCTCATTGCCTGTCTGTCCTGAGCCACAGGCCAGTGGGATCCTTGCTGTTCAGTGCTGTAACCTGCACAGGGATGTGACAATGATCAGTTTGAGGCATGAGTTTCTTATGAATTAATTCAATTAATTCTTTTCTGATGTTCTGGGGGTTTTTAAATCTCAAATTAACACTCCCCATGTTTGAGTTGTAATGTGGCCCTTTTTGCAGCTTGACTTAATCTGTGTAAAAGGCTTGAAATAAGTGATTTTTTTTTTTTGCCAGACTTGAGAACTGTGCATGTTGTTTAAGACTGACTGGTTCAGTGGAGGATGAAAATACCAGATAATCTGATCTTGGCTATGGGACCATCAGCAAAGGCACATAATGTTTCCCTAGCTCTTTGGACACTGAGACCCCAAGAAGTCAAAAATATGAAAATATTTTTTACTTTAAAAAGGTCCATTCTTGTAAATAGCTTAATAAACTCCACCAAATATGCTATAACACATGGTCCTGAAAAGTTAGCTCAAGCCTGGGCAGAGTACAGTGATATATGGTGTATTTTAATTAAAATGGCTTTGACAATCCTGTTCAATGTTTCATTAAAATCAAAGTATGTGAATCATAAGCCATAAGCATTAATTAGTGTGTTGCGAGGCAAATCTCATTTGACTGTACTTGATTAACACAGCGTTTGTAAACACTTTTTATTAACAGAGTTGCAGTCATCAATCAATTTGAAATCCAAATTTTTAGAGTTACCTACTGCTCTTACTTAACACCCAGAAGTAATGGACATCTGAACGGTGAATTAAACTTTCCTGGTAGCAGCTCTGCTAAGAGCTGATATTTATATGGATCTGTGTTACACAAAGCAAAATAATTCTTGGTGCTCGTTCCGTTTGGAGAGAGCTTAATTCTGAATCTCAAAAAATCAATCCCTCGATGTTTTTGCTACCTTGGGGTACGTGGTACGGGGGATGCCGCTCCTTGCTGTCTGTCTTGTGCCTCTGACACACAACGCTGAGCCTCGTCCCCGGGGCGCGTAACCCTGCCTGGGCACTGCAGCTTTGGATGCAGCCTCTGTACAGAAAGGATCCAGCCATCCTGGCCACTCCTTGCATCTTTTTGATGCTCCAAGTCTCAGTCATTTCTTTTTTTCTCTAGCTGGCTCATGTTCTGTGCCTGCTGGATAACATACTCAATCATAAACTCTTGCATTTAGCCAGTGAATCTTTTTAGGCAAGGGGAGGGAGCAGTCCAACCCTTCTCAGAAGCAAGCTGGGTTTACCCAGACAAAATCTTTCCCACTGCAGCAGGCATCGATCCCATGAGGTCACCTTAAGCCCCTTGCCCTTGAAACCATCAGTTTGTTTCATGTCTGACTGCCTTAATGCCAAGTAGGTCAGAGATCCCCAAAGGAGCAAAAGATGCCTTCAGAGTCAAGCAGAGGTTCTGCCGGGAGCCACGGCTGCGTCGGGAGCTCGGCATTTCTGCGGAGGTCGTCCCCAGCCTGCCTCGGAGCAGCATTTTGGCATTTCTGAAGCGGTGCGCTTTGTCCGCTCACTTAGATCTTCAGCTTGCATTGCTGCAGTGGTACCCTGAAGTCTGTGCCTGTCACCCTGTGGTATGGGGTGTCTTCCACTGGACTGGGAAAAGAGTGGGAAGGTTAAGGGATGATGGGGCTTTCCAGCCTTCCCTCTTATTGCAGGAGCTTTCTCACCTGCTCCAGAAGAGTCAGAGGGAAAACACGAGAGAAGACTTGGACGGTTCGATTGCAAGCGAGTAGCTGGTACAAATAAAAAAGGAATGAAATGAGGTTTTATCCTGCTTTGCTGAGCAAAAATTGTCCTTGAGTCAGTTGAGGATCACCTGGAGGGCTTTCACAGAGCTTCAGAAGGGTTTCTGGGTGTGGTGTGGGCAACGTGAGAGAAGGCTGGCAAGAGTTTATGTTGTCATCCCTTAGCTTGTATATTGGAGCTGCCTTGCAGCCAGTGTCCCTCCTTGGCACACCGGGTTGCCCCAGGCGGCGTTTGCCACCTCCCTCGCCGGCACTCCACGCCGCAGTTCGGAGGCACGCAGCGAGCGGGATGCCGTGGCTGTGCCGAGAGCTCTGGGCAGAGGTTTCTGAACATACCCCAGGCAAACGTTCGTGTGTCGTGCTCCTCCACAAACAAAAAGTTGTGCAAGCTGGAAGACCTATCGGTTTGCTGTCATCTGGGTGATGTGTGCTAACCGGGGGATACGTCAGCTGGGATGAACGGGAAGGTTCAGGAAATTCACGTTACTCCCCCGCTTGCTGAGCTTTCTGGAGCCGGTGAAGATCTCATGCCGGGCGGTTTAGAGTTTACCTACAGGAGAAAAATACTGCAGCAGCAATTGATCCCAGCCGGCTGGCAGGAGCATTCCGCAGGTAGCCGCAATTCCTCAGAGGAGCGGAGCTGATACGGATCTTTTCTGCGCGCTCGAGAGCCGGAGCCCTGCCTGTGCCATGGCAACAGGAGTTGTCTTCATGCCACGAAGAGGAGTGTTCACTTAATGCTGCTGTTCAGATCTCATATGCGTATCCATATGCCGTATGAAGCAATACTGACCCGTTGGTATGGCAGCGCGATTTCTTGATCCAAGAAAATGTCAAGTCCCTCTCTCCTTGGCTTGCAGTTGGCAGTAGTTTATCCCACAACGTTGTATTTATATTGGGTAAAGTTCAGGGAGAAATACTGCTGGAAATTGTGTTGATTTGGGTAAAGGGAAGGGGAGTGAAGAGGGAAAAATACATGCTTTTTTAGAAGAACTGAGCTGAATTGACTTAGTTCCCCTTGGTACGCCATGACCTGCTGAAGCAGCACAATGGTCTTCATCTCTGACTCACACAGCCTGGAATGGGTTTTGATTTAAAAAAAAAAAAAAAAAAAAAAGTAAAAAAAAAAGATTGATGTCTCAGATGAGGGATGTCAAATCTACCCTGCTGCTCAGAAGATGTTTGCCAGAAAAGCCTACAGAGCTAGGTGCGAAAAAGTTTGCAGCTTGGTGTGAATAAACTCATTTGCCACAGTTCCTATCAGTGCATTTGAAGTTGCCATGGAGGGTGGGATCCGTGGTAGGAGAAATGTTAATAAAGTAATTAATAATTATGTACATAGCTCTCTAAAAATAAGCTGTCATCACTAAGCGGATGGTTTGTTGTATCATAGTGCTCAGCAACAGAGAGCTCTTAAGTGAAGTGACCCTTGTTCTTTCAGGTGCCTCCATTTCTTTAATGGACAAGGAGGGTTTGACGGCCCTCAGCTGGGCTTGTCTGAAGGGACACCTCTCCGTGGTGCGTTCCCTGGTAGAGAACGGAGCTGCCACCGACCACGCGGATAAAAACGGACGCACTCCACTGGACCTGGCAGCTTTTTACGGCGATGCAGAGGTGGTAAGTGGCCTGTAATACATCCAGAAGAAAACAGGCAGTTGGTGTAAAAGGCTTAAAATAGTACGGTTCGGCTTGGTGTAGCAATAAGCATATAGAGTCCCGGCCCTCCATGCATGCAGGCGCTTCTGCAGAGGACAGTGCATGAGCCTGATGTACTCTCGGACCCTATAGAGGTGGTTTGAGCCCGAGCAGTGGAGCAGAGCAAGCTTTTGCTGGTTGTACATCCCCAGCAGCGCGCGAAGGGTCTCCCCCGGGAGCAGAACTGACTGTTGGGCTTCTCGTTGCAGGTTCAGTTTCTGGTGGACCATGGGGCCATGATCGAGCACGTTGACTACAGCGGGATGCGCCCACTCGACAGGGCAGTGGGGTGCCGCAACACCTCAGTTGTCGTCACTCTCCTGAAGAAAGGAGCAAAGATAGGTAGGGACAAGGGGACAATCCACCGTTGGCTCTGTGCTCAGGCAGGACTCCGAGCAGTGGGGCTGGCTTCCTACAAAATACAAGCGTAATGCAGAGGCAGCCTCAGCCCCAGCTGCTGCTTCATACTCCGAAAGCAGCCAGCGAGTCATGACTGCCTTGATCTCTTTATTAAAACGGGGAATATTTTTTTTTTTTGCTGTCGTGTTACTTAGCAAAGTTAATCAATAAACAACTGTTTCTTTGGCAAGGTCTTTCCTCTGGTAATGCTTTTTCTATCTTTACTAGTCTGAGTCGACAAACGTACTATGTCCATGCATTGCTGTGAGCTGCTGCATTCACTTGCTCTGTGTATGCTTTCAGATCTTAGTGTTACCTGCACTGCGCCACACAGCTGCTCACGTTACGTTTTCCTGTGAAAGGGGATTTTGCTGGTGCATTGGCTTCTTTGCTGCCTGCCTCTCACAGCTGCTTTTTTCCTTTCTTTTTTTTTTTTTCACCTTCATCCATTTTTTTTTTCCCCTCTCTCCTACAACTTTTTGTTTTCTCCTTTCTTTGAAGGTTGTCAGACGTTACCGAGTCGCCCACGAGGTATATCTCATTGCTGTCAGCATCAGCTTCGATCTGATAGCTTTGTCAGCCTTGCTTTCTCCTGTTTGATTTAGCCTGCATGCGTCCCCAACACCTCTAATCTTTTAATTTACCTCACCTTCAAATAATTTTTTTAATGACTGTTGCAGAGAATAACTTGAACTCAAAAACTAACCTCCTTCCCCCAAAATGTACTGAATCTACTTATAGAATATTGTTGACTTATTCTTCACCCACACTAATGAGTTGTCCCCAAATTTTTGCCACCCCTTCCCTCCCAGTATTAGTCCTTGAGATAACAACTGGCTCTGCATGGGCGGACCCCTGCGCAGAGCCAGCATGTCCCCAGCCCAACGGATGGCTTTGGCACCGGCAGCACTTAGACACGATCTTTCCTTTGTTGTATTTTCCGCCTTAATGGATTTTCTACTCTAGTATTTCACATCTTGTGAAGTTGGAAATCACAATGCACTTAAACACAAAACGCCTATCGACAGTCGAACTGCAGATTTCCTAGTACACTTCCAGAGATTTTAATTTAGAAATGCTTTTATGTAACCACTCTGATTTCTCCTTTTAAATATGTTTTGTTTCCCCCACCCCAGCTGGTTCCACAATCAGCACTGCCCTCTTGTGGAAATGGCTCCCGTCATTTCCCAGACCATCATGGTGGTGGTGATTAGGATTAGCCTTAATGACTGCAAAGGAAAACCATTGCAATGTGGATGACGTTAATTTAAGTGCGAGAGGAACTGTCAGCTCGATCATTTGGAGCGCTCTGCCCTTTGACCATGCCAAGTTGTTCTCTCCAGCAGAAATTCCCACCCCAGGATATTTTTTCCACCCAGCTTCCTACCACCCTTGCATTGTATGAGTTTTTTACCCATCATGCATCCTGTACACTACAGGTCCAGCAACATGGGCGATGGCAACCTCCAAACCAGACATCATGATCATCCTGTTGAGCAAGCTGATGGAGGAGGGAGACATGTTTTATAAGGTGAGAAGCGTGTTTTTGGAAAAATTGAACAGATGCAGCTTGCAGCACAACTTTGTATGAGGTTTTGAGTGAGCAATGCTGCTGCCTTAAACCATGGCAAGTAAAAGCTACTGCTGACAGCGTTCCTTGTGTTGCAAACTGTTTGGTTTTGGTTAGTGGAGTTGGGGAGGGGGGACTGATTGCCCAAATCTGTAATGAAGCTGAAGCAAAGCCAAGTCTCTCTGCATTCTGGATTTGAGCCAGCGCTTCATTTCCTCTTTGAAAACACCAGAAACCAAGTGTTTTACAGAGGTTCAGAGCGCTGATGTCATTGCATCAGATCTGGCAACATTGTCATTACCTAGCAGGCTCACTGCTGTGGAACAAGGCAACAAGATAGTATATCCCAGAAAAACTCCTGGAAGAAACTTTTTGCAGTGAAAACAGATTGTCAGGACACAGATGGCTTTGTCGTGTCCTTTAGCCCATGGGAGACATTCCACCATTACAGTTAGAGAGTCTTTTTTGCTCTGTGTTTATTTTAAGCCGATCTTTAAAACCTGGAGATTTGCACACACACACAAAATGTGCAAGTACAACAATGATTCACTGTTAGGCTCTAAGGGTGAAGCAGAAAATATGCAAAGCTGGCATTGTAACTGGAGTTATCTGCCAGAGATACATGATACAGCTGAGAAACCTGAGTCTACAAAGTTTTAAAGCTTACTATTTGTAGCTGCAAAATTTATGTCCTAGATCCCATTTTGCCCTCTTTCTTTCACCCTAGCTGCCACGGCTGCCCCTCTCCAGGGTGCAGATCATCCATCCCAAAAATAGGTGCCCAAAATAGCAAAGATGAGTCGCCCTTTGAAGGTGACTGTTGCGTCCCAATAACTATAAAAGGAACCTGGTTGACAGGCTTAGATGTAGACACCTAATTTTCAGACATCTAAAGTCCAGGGAGATGAATCTCAACTGGTTCGTCCAACTTCAGAGCCACATCGGTGCCATAACATTTATCTTTGCTATTGCAGAGGCTTCTCTGAGCCCCAGGAACTCCACCCAAAGTCCCACACTTCGTATTCTTTACCATCCCTGGTCCTTACTAAGCTTTGGGTGTAAGGTGTTGTCCAGAAATGGGTTACTGATCACCCAGCTCAGAAGGCCATCCATCCAGAAACCAGATGGAGTTGTATCAAGTTAGCAGAACACAAGTTCTGCTGTGTTTCCCACTGTAGCGTGACAACTCTGTACTAAGTGGGAGAGCTCAACTTGCACAAGACATCTGCATTTCCAGATCAGATGCTCCCTTGATCAAACGTTCTGGCTTTCCTTTCTAGAAAAGAGCTAAATAGTGAAGTCAAGTTACCTTAACCACCTAAAACTTTCGTGGGGCTGGTCAGTGAGTTCTCTGCAGTGAAGTAAACTCAACCCAAGGATGTGTTTTGACATGTTCTCCTTCTATTAGAAAGGTAAAGTGAAAGAGGCTGCCCAGCGCTACCAGTATGCTCTGAAAAAATTCCCCAGGGAAGGGTTTGGAGAAGACCTGAAAACCTTCCGTGAGCTGAAGGTGTCGCTCCTTCTCAACCTCTCCCGGTGTCGAAGGAAAATGAACGTAAGTCTCCCCACTCTTCATGGCCTTAAGCGCAAGCTGCCAGCTTTCTGCCTGTGCACAGAGACGTGTCCATCCTGTATTTGTGCTTTGACCTCTGAGATCTCTCCTCTGTGTAACCTGGTTGTCCTTCACAGAGCACTGACATATTATAATTCAAAAGAAGTAATGATTTAGTATGCATTTCTGATGATTAAAAATTCATTGCTATGTTTATAGCTTTTTGAATTTTTTATTACTCCCTTTTGATGATGATGTGAATTGGGGGTGGAGGCATTTTCCAGATTTCTAGGGCAGCGATGAGGGAGGAGCCAGGAGATGTGCTCCTTTGAATACTAATTAATTTAAAATGAAGGAGCATATGCTTAGGGGGCTAGCACTTCCCCAGGGCAGTGACTCATCCAGAAACACCCCCACATACTCCCTCTCCTCCCAAAACTGCCAGATCACTGTCAATCTCTTTGGTCCAATCTAGCAGCATCTAGCGACCAACTCCTGCAGCGTGTCTGTTCTTCCAGCAGACAAGTGCCACCTCCCCCTTGCTCTGCGTGCAGGGGCTTTCACCTCAACAACTTAAAGTCTCCCTAGACTCGAAAAGTGAAATCTCCGCCGAGGCCGTGAGCCAGCGAAGATTACACTGGAGGGGAAAGGGTTTCTGTGACACCTTCATTTCTTTAAGCTGTGAGGGAGAAAGATGAAAAGCAATGGAAGTAGAATCTGAATGCTGCTGAACAAACAGCACAGTTTGTAGAAAAAGTGTGAACCTTCTCTTTAAACAAGCCAACTCGCAGCTAAGCCTGCGCTTTAAGGACAAGATTTTGGGTTTATTGTTAACTGGGGAATCCTAGGTTTTGTGATAGAAAATTTCAGAGGGTTGTAATTACTCCTGCAGTTTTTGCACTTATAGATGAGACCATAAAGGTACCTACCTCTTGACTACATTCCCAGTTTAGTCTATTAGGCAGTATCTCTTCAGTAACTGCTACCGAAGGTACAAACAGAAGTATGAGCTTCCCCAGGCAGAGCATCCAGATAGCAAGCTCCAGGTAGCAGGAGTTTGTTTACCAAGTTTTTGACCAAATCAGGAGTACTCTTCAGTCCTTTCTCCCAGAACTGCCCAGGGTCATAGCCCAAAGTCAGCAATGCAAAGCAATGTTTGGCTGTGAAATGAAAGCCCCTCCACTGGGAAGAGGTCTCCTTCACAAGTGCTGAGCCTCAGCTGAGCTTGCTTGTTCGTGAAGCATTCAGGAGAAGGCAAGGGAGGACAGCCGGCAGGATTTGAACCATAGCTGATAGTCTGATCTCGTGGCACTGCCACTCAAAAGCACCCAGAGCAGTCTCCGTCCCATGCTGCCACCTTCTACCTCCCCACTCCCAAACCAGTCTCCCAAGTGAGGTGTAGGGGAGAGGCAAGGAACAGTGGAACGGGTGGCACTGATAGGAGACCTTTGCCAGGCAAGTACTGTTTGTAGCTACTGAGATATCGTAGTCCCTTCCTTCATGTGCAGTTTTATTCAGCCCCTTCGAAGTATGTCAGTGTGTTGCAGAGGGGAAAGCAGAGGGCGTGGGAAAGGTTTCCTATTGCTTTCAACTATGGAAAAAAATCCTTCACGAGATTACATTCCAGCCTCTGTGAGACCAGATGTTTCCTCAAGACTGTAGGTTGTTGGAGAGGGATATTGCATGCACTTGTTGGGGACACAGTGAGAACGGAGCCAGTGGCGCGCTGGCCTCTGTGGGTGGTGACAGCATCCAGCATTACGAGAGGGCTTTGAGTCTTCAGACGTGCCATTGTAGCTCTCTGGCTGTAAATGATGTTGAATCCATGTGAAACATTCCAGTACCATGAAGTTTTCCATGGTACCTGCAAAAAAAAAAAAAAGTCCATATTAAGTTTGTTTTCTTCCCAAACTGTGTATATTTTTATTTCTATATCTATTCAATTACTTATCTGCACACCTATTGTAATGACAGGATTTTGGAATGGCGGAGGAATTTGCTACTAAAGCACTGGAGCTGAAACCGAAATCTTATGAAGCTTACTATGCAAGAGCAAGGGCCAAACGCAGCAGCAGGTGAGGAGAGAGAGAGAGAAAAGTGTGAGGGGCTGGTCTCTTCGAGCCTGGCCGCACTGATGTAGGCATCCACCGTGCAAAACCGTACCACTGTCCCCATGGGAAGAAATGGCAAAGGAACGTTCATTAATGAGATTACCAACCTCTCAAACTCCAGAGTAACACCCTCCCTCATTTGGTAATTTCTGGAGACAGCTGAATGCAAATGTTTTGAGAGGTTCATCTTAGTTGAACTTTGTCTGAACATCTTACTACACTGGAAACCTTTACACCGAAGTTGGGTATTCTTTTTAAAAATACACTTTAGTTCAACCACAACTTGAGACTCGAAGCAAAATATGACTCATGGAAGCCCTGTGGCCCGTGTTATGCAAGAGGGCAGACTCATTCATCACTACGACCTCTTCCGGCCCTAAAATCTGTGAATGTCTCTGTCCTACAGCACTTTTTGCAAGGCAGAAACTGCTGACTAGCTGTGCAGTGACTGTGCAGGCAAGCGCCAGCCGGTGAGCTTTCAGGCATAGCTTGTGCTCAGAGCACTGCAACCAGCTTCTAGAGAGCTGCAGCACTGGGATCTCTCTGCATCTCAGATGGAGCCTGGAGGATTCACTTGTTAACCTCCCTGAAGGCTAAAAGATGTGAGATTAGATTAGTTTCAAAACCGATCAATGCCATTCCTAAATGAGCAGGAGGGGCTTGCTTTTGAGTCCTGTGCTGAAGGGCTGGGTGCACTGTCATTGCGCGCATCCTGGTTTTAAACGGCAGCCAAAATGCCATGCACGGCAGTGCAGAGAACCACCAGTAGCCGGAGGTATGTCAAGTCCACCTGTGCAAACTTCGTAGCTCAGCAGACACCACCACCATTTGACCTTCCATGCTCAAGGCGATGTGTGGAACCAGGCTGCTGGCCCAGGTAATGCTGCGCTGCCTGGTCCACCGGGTCTTGACGTGGGAGGTGAAGCCATGACCTTCTGTTCTGCAGAGAAGTCCTGCTAGCTGAGCCACACTGACCTAATGCCTTTCCTTTAATGGTTTTCCTCTCCATTGTTTCCAAAACACTTGTAAGAAAGCGTAAGAACCGGGTTCCTTTCCAGATAGTATCAGCCTCCCCACATTGAAGCGTCCTTTTCTCCCCAGGTCTCTCCAGCAGAAACTTTGGCTTTTCTTCTCTATTTCCCAGCTTGTGCCCAGCAGCACCCCTGAGGTCAGCACAGTCTGGGGAACAGGAGGCTTTTCCTTCCTCCACCTGGTTTTCAATGGCTTGTGCAAAAGCTTAGGCCAGTGTTGGGAGGTGCTGGGGAGTTTTTCGGTGCGATCGTCCCCCCAGATGACAATCGTGTTCAAACAGATGGTTTTGCTCAAAAGCGAACAGTGTCCCTGTAAATGACAACCCCCTTCCCCGAACCCCCACCTCCCTTTTACTCCTCACAGGCTGGCCTTTCCCTTGCAAAGGCTTCCCCGGGGGCTCGCAGGCTCCCTAACATTGCTCGATTCCTTCATTCTGAAGAAGTTAGCCAAATCCATTGGAAAATTGGAGAGACAAGCCTTGCCTAAAGCGCTGACCCATGGGAGCCCCTGAGCTCTGGAGCCAGCCCTGACACTGTGTGGTCTTGGCATCAGGCAGAAGTTAAATTTTCACTGGCGTAAGCGGTTGCAACTCCGTCAAAGCTGCGCTTGTTTACAGTAGTGGTGAGCTTGGCTCTTAGTTATTGATGCTTTGGTTTCCCGTTTGTTAACGCAGGGGCAGAGCTCCTGGCGGTGCTGTGAGGAGTAATTAATTAGCCTGCAGAGGACAGGCGGTTTTGCTAGTCGGAGTTGTGCCATCTCAGGACTGTGTTCCCCTCTTCTCCAGAATGACTGGCAGTGTTTTCCTTCAGTTTGCATAAAATAAATCCGAGGGAGGCACATAAGGCAGAGTTTGAGAGACGCACCCAGTGGTAGCCATCACAGACATCTCCCTCAGTAACACGGACAAGCCACTTAACCCTCAGGAGCCTCCGAGAACGGCTCCGTTCCAGTCCAGAGTAATTTCAGTTCTCATTTCTGTCCCTTTGTCAAGCAGGCAGTTTTCAGCAGCCCTGGAGGACCTGAACGAGGCCATCAAGCTGTGTCCCAACAACCGTGAGATCCAGCGGCTGCTGATGCGGGTGGAAGAGGAGTGCAGGCAGGTGCAGCAGCAGCAGCAGCAGCCGCCGCCGCTCCCAGTGGAGCCTGAACCTGAAGTCCAGCATGAAGAGCTGTATTCCGTGCAAGACATCTTTGAGGAGGAGTACCTTGAGCAGGACGTAGAAAATGTTTCCATCGGCTTGCAGACAGAGTCCAGGCCAAACCAAGGGCTGCCCATCATCCAGAGCCCACCCCCGTCCCCAGCTCACAGGGACTCGGCCTATATTTCTGGCTCACCTCTTGGCTCTCATCAGGTCTTTGATTTCAGGTCCAGTAGCTCCGTGGGTTCGCCAACCAGGCAAGGGTACCAGTCCACGTCTCCTGCTCTGTCTCCGACACACCAAAACTCGCATTATAGACCCAGTCCTCCGCACACATCCCCTGCTCACCAGGGCTCCTCTTACCGCTTCAGCCCACCTCCTGTCGGAAGTCAAGGGAAGGAATATCAAAGCCCACCACCTTCTCCTCTTCGTAGAGGTCCTCAGTATCGCGCCAGCCCCCCGGCAGAAAGCATGAGCGTTTATAGGTCCCAGTCTGGTTCCCCGGTTCGTTATCCGCAAGAACCTAGCGGAGTCAGCCAGCTCCCCGGTAGACCGAAGTCTCCGTTGTCCAAGATGACGCAGAGATCTTTCCAGATGCCCCAGCTCCCCGTGGCTGTGCCGCAGCAGGGGCTGAGGCTGCAGCCAGCCAAGGCGCAGATCGTGAGGAGCAACCAGCCCAGCTCAGCCGTCCATTCGAGTACCGTAATCCCAACTGGTGCTTACAGTCAGGTTGCCCACTCGATGGCCAGCAAGTACCAGTCAGCGTCAGGGGAAATGGGGGTTAGCCAGAGCAGGTTGGTCTACCAGGGCTCCATCGGGGGCATCGTCGGTGACAGCAGACCGGTGCAGCACGTTCAGGCGAGCCTCAGCGCGGGAGCGATCTGTCAGCACGGCGGGCTGGCTAAAGAAGACCTTCCGCAGAGACCGTCCTCGGCGTACAGGGGGGGTATGAGATACAGCCAGACACCTCAGATCGGGCGAAGCCAGTCCGCTTCCTACTATCCGGTGTGTCACTCGAAGCTTGACCTGGAACGTTCTTCCCTCCCCGCCAGCCAGCTGGGCTCTCCAGATGTGTCTCATCTCATCAGAAGGCCCATCACAGTTAATCCCAGCGAAATCAAGCCTCACCCGCCGACTCCGAGGCCCCTGCTCCACTCTCAGAGCGTCGGCCTCCGCTTCTCTCCTTCCAGCAATAGCATCTCCTCCACCTCCAACCTGACTCCCAATTTCCGCCCTTCTGCTTCGATTCAACAAATGGAGATTCCTCTCAAGCCAGCTTATGACAGAGCGTGCGATGAACTTTCTCCGGTCTCTCCCACGCAGGGGGGTTACCCCAGCGAGCCAGCCCGTTCCCGGACCACACCGTTCATGGGAATCATAGATAAAACGGCTCGGACTCAGCAGTACCCCCACCTCCATCAGCAGAACCGGACCTGGGCTGTGTCGTCAGTGGACACTGTCATTAGTCCGACGTCTCCTGGCAATCTCCCCCAGCCGGAATCATTTAGCCCGCCTTCTTCAATCAGCAACATTGCCTTTTATAACAAAACCAACAATGCACAGAATGGCCATTTGCTAGAGGAAGACTATTACAGCCCCCATGGGATGCTGGCCAATGGGTCCCGGGGAGACCTCCTGGAGAGAGTCACCCAAGCCTCCTCGTACCCCGACGTCAAGGTGGCAAGGACGCTGCCTGTGGCGCAGGCCTACCAGGACAACCTGTACAGGCAGCTCTCCAGGGACTCCAGGCAAGGGCAGACATCCCCAATCAAACCAAAGAGACCATTTGTGGAGTCTAATGTGTAAAAGACGCTTGTTGGAGTAAGACCCTCATGTTTTCAGCACACACTTCCAAGCTTGATTTCCATGCATATTATGATTATTATTATTATTTTTATTTCTCTTTGGTAGCTACATGACCAAGTTTCTCCGGTACTTTGTGTGGTGGTCAGACAGCCATGCACGTGCTCCAGCCCTTTCGTTCCCCAGCTGACCGTGAAGCCAACATCAGCCGAGCCAGTATCGTTTGCCCAATTCCAGCTAAGTTCCCAACCAGGATACCTTAGTACATGGTGCGGGGTGGTCCAGAAATAGCCCCTACGCAGCAGGAGGTAACCAGCTCTTTTTCAAGAGACAATCGCGTTTGATTTAAATGGGTTTCTTTTGTCTCGATGAGCTCTTACGCAGTTCTGATAGGAATTCCTAGCGGGAGCAGAGCAGGGATCACAGGAGCCTTTCCCAAGGCTGCATCCGCAGGTCCCCGTGCCAGCAGGGTCGTTTGGCTCTTTGCCCCGAGGAGCAAATTACCCACAGCAAGCAAGGGCACGATGAGTTTTAATACCGAGTAGCTATGCAGAGTAACCATCCTGCTTCATCCGGTTTATAGCAGTTTAATCCGAATTGGATTCCTTTGTTATTTAACCGCGTCATCAGCCAGAAGGGGTGGGGATCACACGATGCTTTGCTGCTTTGCAAGCTGCCTGCCGGGTGCCCCGACACCGATTTGCTCCGGGGCATTTTACAAGCATTGAGAGATTAAAGTTGGCCCTTCGTATGCGTTTTAGTCAGCCAAGGGAATTGGCCAGAAACCTCTTGTGCGTGAACTGGGATTACAACAACTTCTTCTTCACACAGTTAGCGGATGACTGCACCTCACACGCACCACCGCGTTTTCACCGGGACGGTTTAACGTTCGGGGTTTCATTGGGTGGACTTTTTCTTACTTGCAAGGGAAAACAGAAATCTGATTTAGAAAACGGTATTCGAGGAAGAAAATTGCAATTTAAAATTTTTTTTTAGAATTCTTTTATGATGAGGATGCGTAACGTGGCACGATGGTTCCTGAGACAGGAGGGGTCCTTCAGCAACCCCAGCCCTGCAGCATCCCTTCCCTCCAGCTCGCTCCCACCCGCGGAGCCGGTGCTGTAGCGAGGGCCGCGCTCCTCTAAGATCTGTTTCCAAAATCTTGGAAAGCGATTGCCGTGTTCCATACCTGTAAATGGTAGAGACCATGTTTTGCTTTTTAAGGAGCTGTAGTTAAAACAAAGATATTTATAATTTATTTATGCGATCTATTTCAGGACATTTTTTGGTTTGCGTTGTTTTTTCTATTTTTTTTTTTTAAATCAAATGCAAATCACAATAAGACAGTGTGAAAAGCAGGGGACGGTTCCAAAATCCTTTTTATAGGATTTTCAATAATTTGTCAATTATTCTCTGAAATTTGGGGGGGGCGGGGGGTGGAGGAACTTTCTTTACAGATTTGTTTATTACTGGTGGGTTTGTAATCTGCCTTTTCAGTTACTGAGGGTGAAGGGTGGGATGAACAGGGGAGAGAGTGATAACCCTGTAGCTTGTTTTAAAGCAAAATAGTGCCTGTTGCCCAATGCCGAACCTCACTCATATCAACTCTTAAGAGCGATTTCAGTGCTGAGCAGGAGGAGCGATACCTTTCGGTGTTTCCAAAGGGCTATACGAATAGATTGCAAGACTTCTTGAACCAAATCATGGGGTCCAACCTCCGCTGGTGTAAAAGAGCATATCCCCAGCGCGACATCAGTGCAGCTACATCCATTTATACCAGCTAAGGACTTGGTCTGAAACTCTTAAGCAAACCCTGGCTTCGATGGGGCTTTCTTTTTTTATTCCTGTGTGTGGATCAGCACATCTCATTGCTGTTTCGTTGCCTAATTTGCTCAGAGCAAACTGGGACGTGCATACCTTGGGACGATGGAAGCTTGTGTCTCATAGACACGTTGAGAGGGTTCAGGGGGTGTTTCCTCCATGGGGTTTGGCGATTCTTGTGCTCTTTTGGGCTATTTGGTGTTTGCCCAAGCCAGTATTTGGATTGAGGTTGGTGTTTTCTTTCTCGAGGTGCAACCCAGTGCTGACTCTTTGCTTTATTACAGGACTCGGTAGACTGGGGGACCCTTCGGTAGGGTGGGCTCCCCGCGGCTGTGGGGACACTCAGCTTCATGCACTATTTCTCCCCTTGCAAAGGGGGTGTGATGATTTTTTTTTTTCTTCCTCTCTTTTTTTTGAAGCAGCGTGTTCTGCTTTATAAGGAATAACCAATTTCTTCTCCGCATACAGTGCACCTATAGCTAGGACATGCGTATCTGTGGGTCTGGAGCAGCACCAGTCGCTTTGCTCAACGCCTCCCATCCAGCTTTCTGTTCGAGTGAGTGGCTTCCTACCTTTAGTTGCTTCTTTGAAAGGAAAAAGTAACCAAATTCAGCCCCGTCCCTATTTTATACGGCCGAGCGAGATGTGCTATGGCTGTGAGCCGTTTCTCTCCGCTGAGATGCAAACGGGACGATCCGAGAGCAGCGATGCGAGAACTGCCCATGCTTTGCTTTTGCTATTCACTGCTGTGTGCTCCCAGTACTGTCCTTCCGAAACATCCCCTCACAGCACTTCTGTGTATAACTTTTGGGTTTATGAAGACGTTTTAAGGGAAAAAGAAAACAGCTCACACTTTTAACACAAACACCAAGCTGAAAGAAGGCTTAAATACTGCGGCGTGCAGGTTTTTTCACGATACCACGTGTTACATTTTTCACAGGATTCTTGCACTAATGGTTTTCCATCTGTTCTCTCTGTAAATGGGTGCACTTTACTGTTTGAATTTGTTACTATGATAAATACTGGATATTTAAGCGTGAGTAGTGTCTTCATTAGAAAATAGCAAAACAGCTCTTGTCTCTTAGTGTATTTTTCAAAAAAAAAAGGAAAAAAGAAAAGAAACGAAGCAATGAATCATAACATTTATAGCACAAGAACTGACTCTTGTATATAAGCATCAACAGATTGAGTAATTTTTAAATACAAAATTATTTGCGGTGGTTTTAAAGCACTTCCCCAGCAATTCTCTTAGGGACAGTTGAGGCAGGATGGCTGCTGTCATCCCCGGGTGGGTGAGGAGCACACCGCTCCCTGGAAAAGCCGTTCTTTACGCAGTGCCCTGTGTCCTCAAAGTCACGATTCGGATTTGGCATGGACGAAAAGCAGAGGTTGTTCCGTATTGTGCTGTCGTGCGTGGTCCTGTTGTGAAGCGCGCTGTTGTACACGTGGCTCGGTGGAGCACGAGGCTCGGATCTCGCCTGACGTCCCTTCGCCCTGTCATCTTAGATCTCGATCTGACGAGCCCAGGCCGCGTTGCGGAAGCATGCGCAGAGTTTCAGGGTCGGTGCCGTCTTGTCCGTCCGTGCTACATATTTAATTACTCTTTGAGTAATTAAGATGTGGGACAACGCTGCCAGCCAGCACCTCCATCCCTTCCCCGGCTGCAGTGGCACCGCTGGCGAGCCCCCGTCCTGCGAGCGAGTAGGATTCGTAGGTGCACCGAGTAAAGCAGGTTCTTGATGGCGTTGAAACCTCCGGGTTTGGTTCTTGGGGCGCGTTGGGTAGGCGATGCCAAAGCCGACCCCTGTATTTAGCTGACCTTCCCACCAGCTGTCTCTCGTCTTCTGCCCGCAGCCACTCCAAGAGCTGCGTGTGCCGCCGCAAAGCCGAAATCTTCTCTCCCAGCTTGGGGTGTGGGTGTCTGCCGCATCCTCGGGTGGGGATTCACCGGCTCTTGCTTTATCTCCCAGGCTGGGAGGATGCTCTGGTCCCAAGGGAGGGGACATCCGCCTGGTGGGGGCTTTGCAGCGGTCCCCTACCAGCCAGGCTGGGAATGGCATTGGAGGGCTTTGAAAATAGTCGTTAGTGCTTAGGAAAGGGAGTGTTTTACAAAGACGGATCCCTTGGGATCTGTCTCCAAAGGTGAAGGTGCCGCGCAGCCTGAGCCGCCTTCTCCGCGCCACTGCTTGGGAGAGCGCGGGCTGGCCAGCTCCCGACAAACCGAGGAGTGCATATGTCTGTCTGTCCGTCTGCTGCCTGGCACCGGTGCCCGCAGGTGGGTCCGTCCGAGCACTGAACTTTTTGGGTTTTTTTTTCTTTAACCTGGCTGTAAAGAAAACTGCTTGGCTAGTGTGAACATTTGTGTGTGCGTATGACAAACACCTAAGCCATACTTGGATTAGGTCCGGAACCAGGGTGGCTGCTAAATTTGGAGCGATTCAGTCCCCTTGTACAAAGGTTGCTGTATATTCAGGGTTACCCAGAAGAAGTCTAGCTAAAACCGAAGTGCCAGCTCCGCCTTATCTAGAGAAAAGCAAGCCGGTGTGCCTGCTCGTCCTCCGCCTTCCTTGCAAAGGGGGGTCCGCGGTGAGCTGTCGTGAGCTCTTTGGTGGTTGTACTTTGCTTTAGTCTTGGGAATTCAAGATAACTCTTCTACCAGGATTAACGGTGTTTGACCAAGGGCTTAGGGGAAGAGCTGTTGTACCCGCTGGGACCTCTGTGGATAAATGCCTTCACCCCGTGCTGGTTGCTCTACGCAAAGTCTGGCGGGGTGCGTGTTGGACACAAAGCACAATGGTTGAAAGTTAATCTGCGTTTTTTTCAGATTTGTGTGAATAGTTGCTGGATTTTCATTCAATCAAACTCTTTTTTCTAATATAAACCACTAAGGGCTCAATTCTTTAGCAAGATGCGTTCATGTCCAACTCCTGACTATACAGCTGGATCTCACCGCAACTGTTACAGACCTACCCGAGAGAAAACACAGCTAGCGCGACCGTCACCGGGAAAGCCAATGGACACCAAACCCATCCGCCGTATCCTTTCCTCCTGCTCATTTTCTAGCTGTCACGGTACTGGGGAGTCAGCAGCCAGGTCCCGTCCAACAGGATCGCATCTGATAGTCGCGAAAACAGAGGGCTGCTTTGCCAAAAGACTTTGTCCCTTCCAGGTGACGCTGTCCGAGGAAGGTGGGGCGGCGGGTTGTCTCCTCCGGCGGGTCGGGGTCGTGCTGGGTGGGTGGGAAAGCCTCACGCCCAGGGCATTGGGTCACTTCACCGTGGGTCTGCCTTGCTGTGCACTGATAAGCCAGACACTGAGAGCAGCACTGTGTGCTACGTAAAGTCCGTTTTGTTGCTACACCGATAACCCAGAGACTCGTGTGGACTCTGCCAGTACTGCCGGTGTCATCCCTGTCCAGCCTTTTCTTTCCCATAGTGTTGCATTCAGCGTTTCGTCTCCCTTCTGTCTTCACATCCGAGAGGATCTGAGTTTGGTACAAACACGTACAGTACACACACCTTGTGCTTGGTACAATTCCCTGGTTGCCATCCTCCGAGACACTTGCTGGGAAGATCTTTAAGACACTTAAATTTTCCTTTAGCTTTTCTATAATTCTGATGTAAAGGACTTTCTCTCTGTACAGTATATTATTCAATGCATGTTCTGTTCTCTCTACTGATATATTGAACACCACACAGTTGTGATATTGTGCAGTGGGAAGAGCAACCCCTGCCGACAGCGGAGGCCTTCGCCTCTCATGTATAAGGAAAGAAGAAAACATATTTTTTCCTTTGCTGTATTTGCTTGAGCAGAGTTTTCTTGTCTGTACATGTGAGCTGTGAGATAGATGTGAAAAGTTCAAAAGAATGCATTCCCCCCCAATGTATACAGATTGTAATCTGTACAATGAAAACTGTATGTATGAAAAAATGTACTTATTTATAAATGGTTAACACTTGGAAACGGCGTCTGGCCTGGCGTTTTTCCCACGCTGCGGTGAGTGAAGGAGCGTGTTGTGGCCTGTCGGCATGGAAATAACCTGGGGATGTCAGGACGGCACAAGGGTCAGGTCTGGTTGTCGCTGTGTGGGGATGGGGACGGGGACCCGGCACCACCGGGAGCAGGAGGGGACAGAGGCAGCGCTGCTGCTGCCGTGAGGTAAGGGGCATTAATAAAATAGGGGAGGGAACCGCATCGGAGAGTTTTTTCTGGATTAAATTGTGGAAAGCACAGCTCAGTGCTGTGGTCACTGGAGCCCTGCAGCTCCCGAGAACCCGTGTGCCTGCTCGCTTCATCCCTGCCCAAACCCAGGGCTCAGTTTTGCAGCTGAACGCCCCTCGCAGCTGCGAGCATCCCTGCCTCCGGCCGCCGGACCGCACTGGATGGGCAGCGCTGGAAGGATGCGGCGCATCGAGGTTGCGGTGAGCAAAAACCCCCAGGCTTGGGCTTGTGCCTTTGCCAGGGGCTGCATTTGCTTTGCAGCGCGCCGGGAGCTTCACCTGCACGGCTGCCTGTGCCGTAACCCAGAAGGAAGAGGGGACGCTTTCAGCGGAGGAGACGAGCCCGTGTGTCAGGGATGGACCTCCTCAACGGCAGTGGGTCTCCCCCACTTCCATAGGCACGTCCAGTGTGTGGCCAGACCCTGGAGATGTCCCCGTGGGGTCTCTCACGCAGCCACCGGGTGCATGGCACGGGGCCCGGACAGGACAATCCCACCCCAAACACCCACCCTGGCCTCCCCAGCCCCTCGGGCAGCTCCTTTCCCGGCTGTCCACGGCACATGGGACCTCAGGGGTACCCCAAAACAACGAGCTGGGGGAGCAGAGATGGGAGGAGGACGGGGTTAGCTGCAAACATTTATTGACGTCAGGAACATCCACTGAGCAGACGACACATGACACGAGAGGTGAAAACAATTCAGACGTGAAGACGCTGAACCTGCACAGATGCCTGGTTGCTCCGAGCCCCCGGGGAGCCCTCTGGGGGGGAGCAGCCCCCACCTGGAGCCGCACTTGGAGGGCAATGGGCTGCCAGCGAGTGGGAAATCTGGGTGATGGCAAACATCCCCTCTGCCCATCAGCACCGAGAACGGGCTTTGGGCTTCAGCCCCTCGCAGCGGGGAAACGTGGGCTCCCACCCCCCCTGGTCCCCAGAGCAGGGCACAGCCCAGGGACCCCCATCCTTCATCCCCCAGTGCCACTGCTGTCCCCACGGGGCTGAGGGCTGGCCCGGGGGGGGGGTTACTGGGGGCTACGCGGGGCAGAGCTGGGGAAGATTTAAGGCCAAGCGAGGCTGAACCCAACGGGCAGCGTCACACCAACAAGCGTGTCCTTCCCCCGCTGTCCTCGTCACCCTGAGCCGGGCAGAGCCCCAAGACGCTGGGGACGGGGTACGCAGGAACGTCCCACGGACACCACAAGGAGCTCGTGCCGGGGACCGGGGAGCTGGGGACGTCACTGGCTGCCACCACCGGGGCTCTCGCCCTCCGTCAGGGTCTTGAAGTCCATGGAGAGGGCCAGCTCCTCGGCCAGCGGCGGGCGCTTCCAGTCGTCCCGCGTCAACACGTAGCCCACCACCAGCCCGAAGGCCACCAGCAGCACTCCCAGGGTGTTGGCCAGGACACCTTCGGGCACAAACTGGCTGTAGGAGTCCCTGCGGGGGCAGAGGGAGATGCTCAAGCCTCGGGGTGTGGGTGGCCTGTCCCTACCCTGGCTGGGACCCCCTCCTCATCCTCATCTCCTGGGCACACGCCCTGGGAAAGGTCCCATTCCCCCAAATCAGAGCAAGAGGGGAGTACGCAGGTGCTGCTTGCTTTGGGGAGGGATGCTCTTGGTGACAGCAGAGAAAACTGGGGCCGCGGTCCTGTAGCAGGGCTATAGGCAGCCCAGCACCTCCCCTGCCAGATGTGCTCCCCCAGCCAGAGGGACGTGGCTCCTGGGGTACCCCATAACCGTGTCCCTATGGGGCTGGGGTTTGGGGGGGGGGACCCCAATGTGCTGCTGGGACCATCGCTGTGTCCTCCAGCTGTGAGGACAGAGGCCTCGGGGACGTGAGCGTCGCAGGAGGTTTCTGAAAACGCCTGGCTGCAGAGAGGCGAGGGTGGGTATTTTACCCCCATCCTCAAAGAAAGCTGTCGCAGGATCCAGCCCTTGTTAAACATCATCTGGGAAGTGACTCAGCAGGAGCAGAACTAAAGGCTTTGGGGGAAGGAGGGGAGATTTAATAACCGCAGAGCCACAGCCTGAGCAGGGGCCAGACTCTGCCCCACGGGGCTGAAGCAGCCCTTCGCTGGGGGTCAGGGAGGTCTGGGGGGGCTACCACCACCCCCCCAGCTCCATCACCCACCTGATGTTGAAGAGAAGCATCTCAGTAATGCCCAGCAAGCAGGCGGCGATGGAGAGGGCAAAGAGGGCGATGCCGAAGAAGACGTGCTGGGGTTTGTACCGGCTCCGAAGCGAGAAGGAGGCACCGGGGAGCAGGAAGAAACCGAAACCCAGGAGCCACTGTGGGGGTGTGGGGATGTTACGGGGGGGCTGCAGGGTCCCTTCCCCCCCCAGGGGCTCCCCAGCCCTCACCTGCAGAAGGTAGAGCACGAAAGCAGCCATCCCGCACCAGCTGTGCAAGCTGTACATGTCGGGGATGCCCTTGGTCCGGTGGGACTCGAAGACGGCGACGATGCCTGCGGAGAGGAGCCCGTTACCGCCGGGGCCGGATCCAGCCCCATCCGTCCGTCCATCCCGGCCGCCCCCGGCGCTCACCGACGAGGGCGACGACCAGCGCCAGGCCGTGGAGCAGCGCGTGCAGCGCCTTGGTGGAGCGCTTGGCTTCGTGCCTGAAGACCCGGTAAACCAGGAGAGCTGCCGGAGAGAAGGCAGATGAGCATCCTTTGGGGGGGGGGTCTCCCACCTCCCCAGCACCCCGCGTCTCCCCAGGGTGCTGCACGCAGGCGGGGGGGTCCCGGAGCATCTTCCCGGTCTCATTCGTCACCGTTTTGTCCCCGTCATTCCCTGCCCAGCTGCAGCTCCGGGGGCTTTGAAGGCCGCAGCTGGGACAAAGCGTTCGTCCCGCCATCCTGCTCACCGTCACCTTGGAGGAAAACCATGCCCAGCACCATGCAGAGGGGGTGGACGTTGAACTGGAGGAGGCCGTGCCAAGCCACGCCGCCCCGGTAGCGACCCAGCCAGGCTCCGGTGGTGGCCAGCAGCGTCAGGCCCAGCAGTTGCGACACGACCACGTACGCCGAAAGCCCGGCGGGGCTGGCGGGCGGCGGAGCGCCGTCCATGCTGGCCTGAGGGGACAGAGAGGAGAAGGCAACGAAGCCACGGGTGGTCTCGCGTGGGAGCCGGGGGGTCCCGGCCGGCCCCGGTGC